GCCGGAAAATATTGTAAACATTTGGAACTTACTTTGGCTATCTAGGCGACTGATTATCTGTACTGAACAAACAAGCATTTACAGAAGCACTTTTCCTAATACTGTAACTTCTAAATGGGCTAAAAATCACGAGATAAGTATGTGATTTTGACAACCGCGTTTGTAGGTCTAGGTGACGCATCGCCATAACAATGAAATTCAAAATGTCTCGCTTGCTTGAGAAACGCAAGTAACAACTACAAAGGCTAAGGAAAATAGACTGAAACATTTATAGGTTGATAAAAAGACCTTGACTCATTTCACACCCTAAAGACTTGCAAACAAGTAATAAGCTATTAATCGATTCCAAGAAATGCAATCAGAAGCAGAATAGCTTAAGCACATCAATTCGATTGAATTTCGTACAACTTTAAATGCAGAACATTTAGCTCAATTGCAATATAGCTATTGCTTCTCAGTATAATGACTGCCTGGGTACACGCAGCAAAGCGTCTTGTCTTATTTGAAGAACCCCTTCAATACAGCCACCCCATTAATATGGCCAGATCTTCCTGGCCCATTGGTGACCAGATTAACAGGATTCCACAGTAGTAGTAAACCCTGCTTTCTTTTGTCCTTTTACATGAATAGCGTTCTTAAAAGTCAGCTTCACAGGGCAAGTCTTAAACATGTGGGATATAAAACTGCAGTATGACCAGAATGAACTTGAACGCTATTTGCATCATTTTAACAAGTATTTTGCATATCACAAATGAATATATGGCGGTGTTGTTTTTTTTGGTAGTAATTCAACTTTTTTATTAGTTCTTGTTTGTTTTAATTGATATAGGAATTAAGGAGTGTGCACATTAGAAGCAAGGTGTGGACTCACAGTGAAAAACCAGAGAACCAGTCAAAAAATAGATATGGAAATGTAGTAGCTTGTACGTGCTTTTGTTTAAATGCATGCTTCTTATTTCATTATTAATTTTGTAACTAAAGTTACTTTAACAAGTACATACATGTAAGTAGATATATACATGGGGTGAGGGATGGTGCAGTGGTGAGCGTGGTCGCCTCCCAGCAATGTATCCCACGTTCAATTCCGGCCAGGTGCCATCTGTGGGTTGAGTTTGTTGTTGGTTCTCCCTTACCCCAAGGGTTTTCTCTGGGTTCTCCAGTTTTCCTCCCTCCACAAAAACCAACATCTCCAAATTCCAATTTGACCAGGATAGAGGACCAGCATAAAGCCAGCTAAGCCTCCACTCTAAATATTGTTATATTTTACATGCATAAAGTGTGTGCTTGCAGTAACAGTTACTCAGAGTTACTACGAATCTAAACTAGCCAAGTAACTAATAAATTATAAGGTGGCAGCATGGCCGAGTGGTTACACTGGTCTTGAAATCCAGAGGTCGCTGGTCCAGGTTCAGCTCTGACCACTTTATAGCTGGAGTTGTTTCTTGGAAGACCCTTGTTCAACTCCTCGGTCATGCTTGTAGATAGCCAACTGGTATGCCTCCTGCCAATTGGGATTTTTAATCCTATCATGTTTAGTTGAGATACTTGTTTCTCTCAGTTTAAGTGGCATGGCTATGAATTAGCTAGGTGTAGCTAAGCACAATGACCACCATAAACAACATTTGAACATTTGTCTTTGACGGTTTGCATTATTAACACATAAGTTGGCTGTCAATAAAACTGGCATGAGAAAACAAAATGAAAAGTATGCTAGAACAAAAGTAAAAGAAAACAACATATGATTCTCCAAGATTTTCCTCAAGCTTTGCTTTACAAGCAAATTTAACTCTGGACTCAACGGTTGGGAGTTCAACCATGGAAACTGACCTTGTACAATTTGTATGTGTTGTGTTCTCTAGCAAGACACATTGACCTCTTTACCTTTCCTTGTTAAGGACCTGTGATGAACTAGAATCCCATAGATCATTATTTTTTTCCATTTCTTCAGATGACCATTCAAGGGTGATTCTTTCTCCGACAGAGAATGAACCGGACTCACATTACATTAATGCAAACTATGTTGATGTAAGTATTGTCTTGTTGTTCATCAAGTGTGTTGTGTTGCTCCAGAAAAAACCCATACCCTCGTCATAGAAAGTCTTGTTTTTGTTTGAACCCCTACCCCCACCCCTTTGGGAATTCCAATTCAGAGTCATACTTCCCTTTAATGATGTTGTCTTCAAGATCCCCCACCCCACCCCTATGGATATTTTCTCAAACCACATACTGTAGAAAGCTCTTAGAACTGTTTAAAAACAGTACGATTGGCACTACAAAATATATTTCGCTTAAACACTAGCCTCATCAGTTGTACGCCATGTTGGATTCTGTAAATCCATTCATATAAGGAGCCGCAAAAAGTAATTACTGAACACATATACAGTCATAGAATATCCTTCACACTCTGCCATGTGAGACCACCACATGAGGAATATTGTTTGAACGCACAAGATTTCGGTTGCAGTAGTGTGCTTGTGAACCTGGTCTCAGAAATTAATTTTTAACGTTGTGGTTTGTGGCACAAAAAAATATCTGCAGTTGAACTGTAATAAAATGGTGAGAAATAGTAGTACTTCTCCTTGTGACAGAAACCATTATTCAGGACTTTTATACATGTATGCACATTATGCCTTGTTTCCCTGTAGCCAACAAGTAAACAGTTACTTTGACTAATCTTTAATTTGGTTTCAGAGCTTCAAGAAAGTAAATGCTTATATTGCCACTCAAGGTAAATTCAACAGTCCTTCCTCTGCCCTCTCCTAAACAGCAGGGTGTAAATAAAGTTGTTTTGATAACCCCAGGCTGGTGTATTCTCTCCTTAGCTTGCTTGAAGGGCAAGTATAGTACTTTTTTTAGACACTTTTTTGAAGAAATTCAAATTACAGAAGTACTGTAAGAGATGAAATTAATTTCATTAAATGAATTCAGTTTGAAACTAAATTAACCATGGTAGTACAGTGAAACCTGTACTCAGCAGACCCCATATTAAACAAACACCATCTATTAAGTGGACACCAGCTTGAGTCCCTAAATTTTCCTCACACATTAGTATTTTACTGTAAAATAAACCTGGATTTGGCAGACACCTCTGTTAAGTGAACTCAGACACCAATAATAAGTTATTTTATTGCACAAAACCTGCAATAAGCGGACACTTCAAGGGCTTTTTATTTCTAAAAGTTTAGCTGAGACTCTTTTAACATTGTTCAGCGATGTCATTTTAAGGCGGCTTACCACAGTTTTTTGGAGACTAGTAGCGCACGCTATGATTGCTTGCCAGATGTCAGTATTAATTGCGCGTACACAAATGACGCAAGCAACCCTGAGAAGAAACGGAAAACTACTTCAGCGCTTCAAAGGCGTTAAATCACTTCAGTATATGTAGCAATAGTTTCAAACTCCGTTCAAACATGTGTCTAAGACTAGGGCTAAAAAAATATGACCAAAAAACTTGATAAACAACTGGTAAAAGAGCTCTAAATTACTCTTGCTTTCTCACATGTGCTACATGGCATCACATGAGAGTGTGCTTAAATAAAGGGCATGCGCAATTCATTCTTGTCCAAGGTTGTAAAAGCCAGTCTTTGATTGAAGATTGCTCGAAAACCTACCGTACAACCCATGATGAAATTTTCACAGTTGATTTGTAGGGGTGAACCATGTTTAGAGCCAAATTTTTGAAAAAAGCTGTAAGATTTTGAGCTATTTTTGATATCACATTTTCTTAGTTTGCGAAAAATCTGTCTTACAGATTATGAATGTTAAATCAGACCCAATTTCTTATTCCTAAAATTTTGAGGTGGGGTCAAACAGGTAGATTTTGAAAAAAACATGATTTCACCTACTAGTGCCCAGTCTCTCCTTAGGTACCTGGTCATTCATTTTGGCCATTTGTTGACGTTTAATTGTTCAAGTTTGACATAGTATGGAAAAAGACTTGAGTAAACAGCAGATAGAGAAAGGAAAAATATCTTGGAACATTTTTCAAAAGAGTTAGAAGTTGGGCTGTTATAATCCATCAAAACTGTAGTAAGCCACCGTAAATCTAAGTAAATTATTCCAGATTGATGCATTGACTTACTGTCATTGTGTTATGAGCAGCCTTTGATCTTACACCGTGTTAACTATCATTGCAGAGTATATTAGAACCCGTTTAGAGCAGACAACCTATATTAAGTGGACAACCTGCATTAAGCAGACACTAGTAAATGTGCCAAGGGTGTCTGCTTAATACAGGTTTCACTGTAATATTTTTCTTTTAGTCCAGGGAATGGGGCTTGTGAGAATTTTGATAACGACCTTTGGGCTAGCACATTATATACTTTTAGTAATAGGCTGAAACTGTAAACTAAAGAACAGTTTTTTGTGGTTTGTCTTTTGAAGGACCCCTGGCTAACACTATAAATGATTTTTGGAGGATGGTGTGGGAACAAAACTGTAGGGTCATTGTTATGATCACTAAGATCTTTGAAAGAGGAAGGGTAAGTCATTCTCTTCACAGACATTTGTTTTTGGAGCAGTTTTTGTTTGAGTGTCAAAAGTCATTTGCATTTGCCTTGGTTTTACCTTACTAGTCGTATGTTTTGGAAGAAAAACCAAAATCAATTGCGAATTGTTGGCACACAGTTTCCAATGTTTCACAGTATAGGGTACTTCATATATTTACCTGGTATTGTGATAGGTACACAGTATTGTATGTATTGTGTATGATTGGCTAGAGTGATTACTTTGGTTTGGTTTCAAAAAAGTCAATTAAAACAGATGTGAAGTACATGTAAAAAGTTCAAAGCATTTGTAAGTCACCACCAGTTTTGCCCTGGAATAGTCCTCTTCTGACTCGGTGGTATTTCTTTTTTTATATGAAATTGTGGTAATAGTTATAATTATGACTTTTTATTAGATTGTGAAAGGGCCTATGGGACAGAAAAAACACATATGTAGAAAAATAAATTATGATTCTATAAAATTGTGAATTAGTTCTTTATATTCCTGTCAGCATAAATGTGCAATGTACTGGCCATCTAAACAAGCCAAGAATGAAGTTCATGGTCCTCTAGTGGTAACATACTTAGATGAGGAGGCCTTTGCACATTACACTGTTCGTAGATTTGAGGTGAAACCAGTTGACCACTGCAGTCATTACAGTCAGGTATCTGTAGTTTATGTTTTCTGTGTTGATATCAGTACTTAGCAATTTGTCATCATGTTCATTTGCTGTTTTTTTATATAAAATTAACCTGTGCTGTTTAATCTGAAAACAGTTGCTATTTTCGTAGGAATGTATACCATACCACTGTTGTTTGAAAGTTGATTTTAAAACTTTAATCTGGGATTGAAAATTATCCAAAGATTTACATCAATCACTTTTAGTTCAAAGTTAGTTAGTAAGTTATTGTTTGATGCAATGTCAACTATCAAAAAGTTGGACGCAAAATGAGAGAAGTAGTTCCTTATTTATGATAAACCGACTGTGAAGTTGTCTTGGATTGGGTAATTCCTGCTTTAAGTGAGTGAGCCCAGATCTGTCAATGTAGAACCCTAGTTAATGCTATCAGGCCTTTAAAGTGGCTTGATCAGATTGAAACATTTCAAGGCCACTAATTTTCAATGTCAACACAGGGAAATGTTGCGCTGATTTTCACTCATGTTGTTTGTTGTCTTCATTATAATTTTTGTTTTTCTGGCATCACTATGCTATTGTAATTTTCTGTATATCATGACTCCATAAAATGCGTGACTGCTTTCTGAAAATTTTGCAGAAGCACGCTAAAATATCCTGAGCTAGCATTACAGTAAGAATAAAATATATGTGACACTTTCACTCATCTTGCGGTAAAGTGGCCAAGCCAAGGGAAAGCGATGGGCACAAGCGGAAAATCGCTATGCTGGATTCCTTGTTTATCTTTAGCATAGCAATTGGCCACATTAATGCGGCCATAAGTTAAGTGTGACAAATGTTTAATGGTAATGCTAGCACTAGCTTGGCAAATTTTAGCATGCTTTGCAAAAATTGGCAAAAAGCAATCGGGCGTTTTATGCATTCATGATATACAGAAATTTACAATAGTGTAGAGATTCAAGACAAAAGAAAATTATAATGAAGACAGCAAACAACATTAGTGATCATCAGTGCAACATTTTCCTGAGTTGACGCTGAAAATTAGTGGCCTTAAATTGTTTCAATTAATTTGTTTTTGTTGTGTTTTGACACCTTGAAACTTCAACTGCAGTTTTCTCACTTTAAAAATTTTGCCATCATTTAGGCAACTATGTCAGCTCTTAGATTACGACGTCGTAATTCCAAAATGAACCTTTGATGATAAGTTATTCAGTCTCACGTAAAATGGGGTATGACATAACATTGCTATGGTAACTCAAATGTTGGTAAAACTCGCCTCATTTGAAACTTTCATCCTTCTCTAATACACCACTGACGTTCGATTTTCTGTTGGGTTGGTAATGGTGGCGCTGTAGTTGCTCAAAGTTGAAAAGTATTGTTACTCAAAAATGTGATGAAGCCACCATAAGCCCCCATCAGGAGTGATCATCACTTGTAAGTAACAGTCTCTTACAGCAAGCACACTGCATGAGAGATATTAAATGTTTGCAGTCAAATTATGTAGTGAGAAACTGACTGCAGGCCACCCCTGTAAATATGGATACCACAGTTCCATAAAGTGTATGAGTTAGGTGTTTGTATTGAGTATATATGATTCAGTTTTGATGAAAGTATATCTTATTTAAATATTTAGGGACACTGTGTGTAGTTAAGGTGTCTGTGTTAAGTGGGTGTCAGTAAAACAGGTTTCTTACACTAACAATCTACCTTGACAAAATCGGTGTTTTGAAAATACTTCTTTCAGAACATACATGTGCGATAAAAGGATTTTGTCACAGGCTTGCATTTCGTAGGCCATTTAAGAGGCTGTCTCTATAAAAATAGTTTTATTTGATTAAAAATTCTAATTGAAGTTTTCTAGGATTGATTGAAGTTCGTTCCACTCGCCACAAGTTACATGCCAGCCGAAACTGGAAAAATAGCACATATTGCCCATGCTCTAAAAAAAATAATATTTGCTCAAAAGTCCCAATTCTTTTTTTCAACTATAGATGTATTATAGGAGTTTGTTTAGCCATGTTGCAATTATAATTCAATGTTGTTCCTTCAACAGTTAAAAGAAGATTTTCTACCTGTTAAATCGAGTTTTGAACCAAATGTGAAAATAGCTTTACTTTGAAGGCACATTTTAAATAATAAAATTTGTCTGCCCACTAGGTTTTCAAAACTAATGACCGCTTAAAGTTCAGGAAATTTTGAAAACATTCCAGCAAGTAACTAACACACTCGCCTTCGTTAAGCTCTCCAGGGAGCCAAGGAAGGATTGATAAATGCCACGGCCATTTTGTGTTTACAACAGGTGTTTAGTTCCCAGTCTTCCCATGAGTATCACATCATTGATTCCCGTTATACTCACGGGAAGATTGGGAACTAAAACACCTGTTGTAAACACAAAATGGCCGTGGCATTTATCAATCCTTCCTTGGTTCCCCGGATCACCATTTACTGTTCATACATGTATGTGTGCCGAGAGTTGTCCAAGAGTGCTTCTACAAACCTTTCAAACGGACTCTACATGATTAAACCGGCATAGAGGAAAACAATAGTCGGTAATACAAAGAACATTGAAGTAGGTGACCATCACGCTTGACACAGATGAGGAACGTATAAATGTACTTTATATACAAACCTACCGCTGAAAGGAAGAGCTGGCAGTTTTAATGCTACCTACAGGTTTCAAGGATCGCTACAAAGGACCAAAACTTTAAGCTTGAAGCCAGGTATGAGATTTATATGAATTTATCAGAGCACTTTGTGAAGGCAAGTGTGTTAGCTACTCGTTGGAATATTTTCAAAATTTCCTGAACTTTAAGTGATCATTAGTTTTAAAAACCTAGTGGGCAGACAAATTTTATTATTGTTTTAAATTAAGGGACATTTATACTTTCTATTCTTGTAGTTCAGCAGTTTCAAACAGGTGCCACATTTTAAAAATGTGCTTTCATAGTAGAGCTATTTTCGCGTTTGGTTCAAAACTTGATTTAACGGGTAGAAAATCTTCTTTTAATCTTTGAAGGAACAACATTGAATTATAATTACGACATGGCTAAACAAACTCCTATGATATATCTATAGTTGAAAAAAAGAATTGGGACTTTTGAACGAATGTTAATTTTTTTAGAGTGCCGGCAATATGTGCTATTTTTCCAGTTTTGTCAGGCATGCAACTTGTGTCAAGCGGACCGAACTTCAATCAGTCCTAGAAAACTTCAATTAGAATTTTTAATCAAATAAAACTCATTTTAGTGATTGACTAGGTAAGGGCTTCGAAATCCTAGCTTATGAGAAAAATTGAATTTTTGAAGTAAAATCAGTGGTTGGTTTTTACAGAGACAGCCTCTTAAAACATTGAACTTCTATAAATGCAAATAAACAATGATTTTTAAAAGGACATAACTCTGTATAATGCGTTAAACATAATGTTAATTAACTGTGTCTGCTGTTGTTTGTTTCTGCATGTAAAGTATAAATATTCATCTAGGATGGTTTCCTTTGGAATAAACTGGGTAAGGCTCTTTGCAACAGATCTGTAGCATTTTTGCTATTTCATGGTAACAAATCATAACTGAATAAATCAAGGGTGTTGAGAATGAACCTACTAACAAGTGAACAGCAGGATTTTGAATACATATAGAAAACAATCAAATGAAAAACAAACATGCACATGAAGCTTGTTAGCAAGATTAACAGTTGACTCAGAACTGTAGATGATAAAGCCTGAGATACATGTACTGGTTCTCATTACCTTCCAGATGCTTAACAGAATTGATCTGTTGTGTTGCAACTTCCAAAATGAAGTGTCGAAATTCCATAATTTGACATTTTTAGTCAGATGTTCTTAAAAATTACACTTGGGAGTTACCACCGATGTAAAAATTCACGGAAAAAAGGGATTGATAAACACTTACGTACCACCGGCTGGTTATGTTCAACATTCTTAGTTAATTTTTTGCAAAATAATATAATGATCCTAACATTTTACATGTAGCATCAATTGTTGTTAATCAATAACATATTAACCACTCTTTGACAGACACCTTGAAATTATTGACAGTAGCTTTGGGCCTTAGCTCATAGATTTTCATAGATTTTCTCATTGTTTAGTTCACTTAGAACTGACCTGTCTTTACTAAAGACACTTTCTTTGATCCTTACAGTGTCTGTATTAATGGGTTTGACTGTAGCTTCTTTATAAAAGTGTTAAAATCAATTTCTGTGACATATTTCAGTGAATAATTTATTGCAATCAGCCAATTTTAAGAAATAGAAAAGGTTTTCCGTGTTTCAATCAAGGTATAGAATCATGAGTGGAAGTGTGGGAGAACGAGAATGATGTGGGAACATGATTCACAGGAGAGTGTTTCCACAGCTTGTCCGAGTTCTTCGAAGTTTCCACAAGTGTTTCAGTCTATAACTTCATAGAAACACCAAGAAAATGTTTTCTATTTTTTTAAAAGAAAACACTGGAAAAAAAGAAAGGAAAATCCCTTGTTTATTTTGATTATCAAATGTTAATTTTCTTTTTTTTTTTGTTTGCATTATATACATAATTATGTCATCGGTTCTTGTTAGTTCTGTTGCTATCGTGTTGCTTTCACAGCAGGCTTTCTTACGGGATGCTTTCTGAATAACTATAATATATGAATTTATAATATTTAAGGCCACCTGACAAAATCTGGTGCAAATTTAATGAAAACCTCAGATGTTACTAGTAGATTTCTGACAAATTAGCAATCTAAGTGCACTACAGAAACAGTACATTTGTGACCATTTTTATTGTTTTAAGTCATTCAGACACTGTTGGTCAATCATTTGCAAACTTTTTGAGTAGTTGGAGTATAGTTGCACTGTAAAATACAATGGACTATTTTGTTATACTGGTACATAATAAATTACGTACTAATTTGTAAATGTTTGTGTCCAGGATGCAACAGAAGATGAAGTGAAACCTATGGAAGTGTTACAGTACCATTTCACTGGCTGGCCAGACCATGGTGCTCCAGATGTTGGTTGTGAATATCCTGCATTGGACTTCATTCTGAAGTCAGCAGCTGCCAATCAAGATGGGACTGGTCCCGTTATTGTTCACTGCAGGTGAGTATCAGCCAAAAAATGCATTTTTAGAGGTTATTGCTCGGCCAACTTATCTATTTCTCCCTTTTGGCTGGCTTTTGCAAGCATGTTAGTCATCTGTCGGTGAGGTATTGGTGTGTATCATTGTGAATCCTATTGTTCTCCAGTTTCCTCCTCAAATGGTGGCTATTTTGTCTAATATGTTGTCAGCTAGTGCGAAAAACATAACAAAGAATTTAATTGGTTTAGCAGCCTTTTATTGCAACATTGTGAGTCGCCTATTTTCAAATAACTAATTTAACCAATCTTGTGTACTACAGGCCCTCGTGGTCAAGTGTCAACCGATCGCAGCAATCGATATTCAAGCGACATCTCAGCAGAGCCCCGGCAGATGCATATCGGCCATCGCTTTGTCGGTTGATAGTCTGTCTACAGAATCTAATTTTCTTAGACACGCCTTCGAGCGTTGATTGATATTAGCGGTGATCACACATTCAATATGTTGGCCAACGCTTGAATCAGTCACTTCCTTTTGGCTGGCTTTTGGGGCATGTTGGTCGTTTGTCGGTGATATGTTGGTGTGTATCGTATTGTGAATCATATTCTTATCCAGTTTTCCTCCTCAAATGGCGGCTATTTTGTCTAATATGCCATCAACTAGTGTGAAAAGCATAACAAGGAGTTCTTCCTTTGAAGGTCTCTGGGTTTCATAACCAGTCCCCTCTACAAACTATGGCTAGTGTGAGATAAAACCCAACGAGATCGGGCGAACTATTTTTTGTAGAGTTTACCGCACATTTATTAGAGAGAAACCTCAAGGTTCTATTTTTGATAGGGCTTATTTTTGCACAGTATATAGATGAGGTAAATTTGTGAATTAGGATAGTCAGTGATTCAGGACGATTGAAAAGATTGAGGATGATGGAGAGAAACGTTTGAGGAGTTTAAAAACCTATGAACGTGAGGCTGAAAACGGAGAAAAGTCAGCTAAGCGTCGGTATAGTATTGGCTGAGCGTCCCGTGTGGTGCCACTATATTTTCATGAGTGTCTACAGTCTACAGTCCAGCTGTCACACTAAGGAGCATGTCGGAGACGGTCGGCACTTGACTGGCTTTTGACTGTTGTCGGTCGAGTGTTGACCAAGTATCGCTCAATATGGGGACCAACTGTCGAACAAGTGTCAACCATGCAAGATGTCGATCAAGTGTGAATCGCTGCTGGATTTGGTGGACAGTTGACTGCGGTGCCCTTGGTACACTTAATCCGTTAGAACTTGTGCCATGTCTGACCGACCATCTCAATACAGTAAGACGGTTTCAATTTTGAGATTGATAAAAGAGATAAATCTATCTGGCCAAAACAAAAATGTATTGGAGCAAAACAGGGCAATGCGTTTCCTTTGGATAAGGCTTAGGTAAAACAAATCAAATCAGAGTAAAGCTTGATGTTTCTGTTATATTCGATGGTCCTTGCACGCAACGCATGAAATTTTGTTTGAGCTAGGTTACTACTTTCTAGGGATCTTAACTTTCAGAACTTCGGTGTATTGTACGTGTAAAATAACAGGAGTATACTGCATAAGCAATACCTTGTTTGGCGCGGACATTATTTGTTCTGAGAAGCAAGCAGTTTTCCCAGAGAACATTGAGGAAACCTGCGAGCTTGACTCAATATGAACTCACGAGGTTTTATTTTCGTTTCAGTGCCGGTGTTGGTCGAAGTGGGGCATACATTGTTATTCACAGCATGGTGAAACGAATGCATGAGACTGGTGATATAAATATTTTTGATTTTGTCGCTCAGATACGTCAACAAAGGAATCATCTTGTACAGGAAGAGGTTAGTGCATGATGGTACAAAAAGTTATCTCCGACATCACTGGCGAGATGATGGCCATGACTGTTGTTCTCTTTACTGCATTGGCTGCTTATTGTTTGTAGGAACTAAACGGTAAATGTTCTTTTATCCTTGTTTGTTTTAGTGTCAGTACATTTTTGTCCATGATGCTTTACAACACTACATTGACAGTGACTTGAGGCTGTCAATCCCAATAGATGAACTTAAAGGCTCTGTACAGAAGCTGAGAAAAAACCTTTCAAATAAAAGCAAACTTGAAGTCGAATTTGAGGTGAGTTTTGTTTGGTACATTTAAGTTATCTCTAATGATAGTTATCACTAAACTTGCCCCTGCTTTCTTTTATTTCTCGTGATTGAAAACAACTGCACATTATTGTATGAACTAAAACTTTTATTTCTTGTTTTTTTTTGTTAACTACATCACCCATAACGTTCCTATAACTTAAGCATCTTATCGTGGATATTATCCAAACAATCAACTACGTAAACTTAACCAACACTTTCTATTTAACTCATTCTATTCCAGACAATTTTAAAGAACAAATTTGACACATGATATTCTTTACAGAATATCTCACTAAGCATTTACAGCAGAGCAGTGTACCATGTCCCGTTTGAAAGGACGCAAAAAGTACTTCTAGAAAAAAAAATGTTGCCTTCATGGAGACTAATATTTCTTTTACGAAAAGTTCACTCAGCAAGACTTAGGAAAAAAGGTTACCCGATACGCCTATACGCGCCTAGTTCGGTCAAATGGAAATTTTTTAAGCCCCTAATATATTTATGCCCATTTCTTCATACACGCGCGGACTACTAGGGTGCCTCCGCAGGCTCTCCGGCTCTGGGGCCCCTTCTCGAAGATCCCGAAACGTTTTCACACCCGGAAAGCCATAGCAAAATCTAAAATCTTATGATTACAGAGCTGTTCTTTACACATATTCTTAATATGAACAGAGGTTCTCTTCTTTCAAGAAATTTCACGCGTACTCACCTCTTTGTTTTTAGATACAGATTAACTAATACTGGCTTTGCGGGCCCGAAAAGTTTCCGGGGCTTTCGAGAAACGGGCCCCTGGTTGGGGGGATGTGGGGGCAATATTGAATAAAGTAATAGTTGCATTTAAATTACAACATAAACTAAGGTTGTAACACTTGATAAATTATAATAGTTATTAAAATTAACACTTATGAAGTATTATCCTTTCTCTTTTCAGAACTTGAATGCGATTCAAGTGAGACACTACAACTTAAAACAAGCTAAACGTGGTTGCAACATAGGAAAGAATCGATCAGTGGATTATATTCCCGGTAGAACTATAAACATGTGATTAAGCAAGAAATCATTTAGGAGATTTAGTTTAAAAGTTGTAAATAGTAAACAAAACTCAACTTAGCACCGAGGAAGGGCTAGGCCCGAAACTTCTGCTAAAAAAATTGAGTTTAATTTGGCACTGAATTATTACTACTTACAACTTCTGAACTGTTTACTGTGCCACGCAGCTACTGGTCCGTTTGGATTACAAATATTTATTTCAATCATTTAGTTTTCCCATTATACTGGTCTGTTCATTCATGTGGCGGTCCATTGATTTGTGGATTTAATTCCAGGTAGAACTATAAACATGTGATTAAGCAAGCAATCATTTAGGATATTTAGTTTAAATTTTGTAAATAGTAAACAAAACTCAACTTAGAACCGAGAAAGGGCTAGGCCCGAAACGTCGGCTAAAAATATTGTGTTTAATGTGCCACTGAATTATTACTACTTACAACTTCTGAACTGTTTACTGTGCCACGCAGCTACTGGTCCTTTTGGATTACAAATATTTATTTCAATCTTGTAGTTTTCCCATTATACCGGTCTGTTCATTCATGTGGCGGTCCATTGATCTGTCCAGCGGTCCGTCAATCAGTCGGTTAGTCAGTAAGTTGGTCCGTGCATAACTCCGCTTGTCAGCCAATAAGGTAGACAATAAGGTATTCATTTATAAAGATTAAATTGCTTAGAAGCGTTTTATTGTTTAATACTTAATTGATGATAAGTTTTTCCATTATGTGTTCATCCATTTTAAGCTGACAGTGCCAGGGTGGAACTGTATCCTCGCCCAAGAGAGGAGGGGTCGGATTATATCAATGCTACGTACCTTGCGGTAAGAATTGGGCCTTCTTTACTTGATAACTACATGGAATTCTGTCTCAAATTTGCCCTTCGATTATACTTTGTGTATACTGTCAGTCTGTGTTTAGCTATCTCCAATTTGTTAAGTTACCAGGGTTCTCTCCTGTCAATTTCTGTTAAGTTGATCAGCAAATTGTGCGTTATTTACAAACCGTAGAACCGTAGATTGTCAAATTATGGGAACGGTTAGTCTATAATAGCACTCGGCGTTTTCTTTCTTATTTAGGGATTCTGGAAGTCCCAAGCTTACATAGCTACTCAGTATCCTTTAGAAGAGACTACACAAGACTTTTGGAGGATGGTTTGGCAGGAAAACTGTCGTTCACTTGTCATGCTGCTTAGTAAAGCGGAGCTAGAACAGGTAATACCTTCCCCCGGCAGAGGGCTCACTGTCACATTATGATCTGTTCTCTTTCTCAAACAAGCATCGTAATCTATGTACTACATTCTCATCCAACCAGCTTCAACTAAAACGTTTTTTTTCTTTCAGGATTACTATCATAGTTATCTTCCACGTGCGTATGAAACATGCAGGTTCGGTGATTATGAAGTAACAATAGATTCCGAGAATACCCGTGGTGATATTGTGGTCAAAGAGCTAAGAATGGTCTCCATAAAGGTACACCATCTACAATTATACGTTGTGTCCTGTGCAACTACAGACTTAGTGAAAGTAGTGTTAATTGGAACCCTGTAGGTAAGCAAATATTTTAGAAGAAGTCCATTCAAATCTGACTTGTTATATTTGTTATAAGGACCCAAGTGAGTACAGAAATCTACAACATTTTCATTTTCTTCACTGGCCTGAAGATGGAGCTCCGTGGTCCGGTCAAACCATTCTGCAGCTTATCTGTAAAGTGGACAGCTGGGAGAAAGAAGTGCAGGTTCACGCTAAGCCCTATGAGGTTATTGGTCCAATTGTAGTGCACTGCAAGTAAGTTAGATTGGTTGCTTTGCGCGTTGTTTGAACGCACTGTTAAATGAAAATTATTTTAAGTAGAAATCTTCCATGAGGAGACTGCAAAATTGGGTGGAGTGTCTCATTATGTGAGACATTGATGTATCCTCTATATGTAAACAGACGCCGTCCTTAAGGTGGCACTCAGCTGTGAGTGAATGAGATTGTCTCATTATGTCCATACAAGCACAGTGCACAAAGGAGACAGTACTATAAGTAGATATTTACCGTAACTAGACGCCTCCCAGAAGCCGTCAACTCCAATAGGAAACACCAGACACCTAAATAAGCAAACATACACAATGATAGCTGTTGAAAACCGTGGTTATTTTTCTGTCACCTTCAAACGTATATCTCCATGTTAAGCTGCTCATTAGTTACCTACCCATTTTGTCGATTAAGTTGTGAATGTGTTTGTGGTCACAGTGTTGTTGCTTAATCACCTTCCTTTTTAGTTCAGTTCAACAACATTCATGTGAAACGCTCGATATAAACAGTTATGGTTATTGTTCTTCACAGTTATGGAGTTGGGCGCACAGGTGTCTACTGTCTGCTGCACACAATGTTCCATCAGATAAGACGTGAGAAAAGTGTTTCCATCTATCAAACAGCTCGCCTCTACAATCATCAGAGACCGCATTGCATATTAACCAAGGTTTGTAATGCCAACTTACTAGACGGAACAGGCGGATTGGTGTTTGATATTTTTGCTGTATAGCGGGATCGGGAGTTAGTAGCGGTGAGGGTCTCCCGTTACGTTTCTTGCCAAGAAAATGTCCAAAATGTTTCGCTTGTCCCAAGGCCTTGTAGCAATTGATTTTGACAATTTACTTAGGAGAGAAACTTATCAGTTGTAGGCACATGGAAATTAAGTTGAATTAATGTACCTGAAATCTTCTTGTTGTTTTATACTGATGGTGCAGTTCTACAGAAATCTGTTGAATTCGCGACAATTATCACACTGATCGCGGTTGGCGTGATTACTTAGCAGTAACTGCTACTTTATTGACAAGGGTAATGAAAAACCCATGTTTTTTCTTTTGTAAAGGAGCAGTACGAGTTCTGTTACGATACACTGGTGGAATATATTGAAGCAGACTGCTCGCTACATCTTGTGTGATCAGATACCAGACGTCACTGAATACATCCCAGAGCACTGGGATCAAAAGTGGCATTAAAAGTGACGCAAGGATTAACAGCTCGTGTCACCTCTCGTCAGTTTTCACGAACTTCATCATAGTTGTTGCATAATGAACCAAGTATTGTCCTTTGCAGTCCTTGTCTCTTCATGCAGTCTTTCCGTGAAATTTAAGTGAAGTAGTTGTTAGGTTTTGTCCCGTAAATAGAAAGGCGTATGAACCTTTCAAGGCCTAGTTGTGATTATCATATAATTTCTCCTTAATTTCGATTTTTTATAACCAACGGAGAGGTAGCAAGACTATACAAAATCGTCAACTACAGGTGTAGGAGCTGATAACTTAGAAAATGTGGTCTCTAAAAGTACAGTAAGGTGATAGTCTTTACGTATAACTACTAGCGATCATCAAGGAAAATTGTTATTATAAACATAGGGCTGAATGGTTGATCTTTCTTTAGATTGTAGTTTAACTTGAAATTGGATAAGTAGAATATTTGCGTCAAGCAACGCTTTGCTCTCCGTAGTTTGTAAAACAGAACAATCTCTGATGCAATTTGAGGATTAGGTGAGCCTGTGATTGAGGTTTCTTGGCCATCGTAGTTGCTAGGTAACAACTTCGGCTGGAAGCAGCACAGATAGTGGACTATCCTCGTAAGTTATTCGTTTTTATTTTGATAGGTACAAATTGATCAGACCCTTTCTGGGCTTTTTGTACGAGCAGTGTCACTGCGGATGAACTTGTTTCAGTTAACGCAGACACTGCGTTTTAAAAATTTTGCCTGCGTAACAATATAGAGTAATAAGAAATGTCTTTCAAGAAGCATTTGATGGAAAATATTATTCAAGATTAGCATAAAATTGGAGTGTTCAATAGTATTAGTAAGAGCGTTAGCTGAAAGCTGGAATATAATTTTGATAATACAAAGATGATGATAATCTATAACGATAAATAGTGATTGTAGTTTATGGTTTGAACTGCTGTTGAATAGTCTTGATCTTCTTTACGCCACATCGTTCTGTTTTATTAATTGTAAAGTATATTTTGAAGTTAGTTTCTTGGCTACTATGATTGATCTGTTTGCTGTCAAATTTGCTCGTTGTTTCAGTAATGTTTATTCATTTCAGACAGCTTTACTGACATCTTTCGGTTGGTTTTCCAAATATCTCTATCAAGCAAAGGGCAATGGGCTAAATCGTGGAGGAAAAAAAACTAATTGGTCGAATTACATACAGCTGCGATAAAATTGGTACCTTGTCAGTTTTGCCTGTGTTTCATACTTGGGAAATTAGGCATCTCATGTTGCAATCAATTGTTAAATTTCGTTTTCTAGTTATTTTTATTTGCCGTAGGGTACAGTTAGTATTTGGCATAAAAGTGTAGCATTATTACGGTCATGATTGACCACTAATACTGTAAAATTGTGTAAATAATTTGACAATGGTTTACTATTGTCTGCTTAGTGACTGAATAAAATTATCTCAACATTGTAAAGTATTATGGGAAGTCTGGTTGACCCGCGGAGCTGCCCATGGGATTCGGGGAGAGGGGGGAGGCTTTTCTACTCACTGTTCTCTGGGTTAGGTATATTTCACAAGGTGTTGCAAGCAGTGATCCCCGTAAATCTCAGTCATATACTAATGCAGCGGATGCGTACTACCCCCCCCCCCGCCTCTTCCCCCGCCTTCCCCCGATAGATTTTTCAAGGTTAGGAATGCTAGTCTAACATTTCCCCCGGATTAGACAAGTCAGCACCAAATTGGAACAGAACTTGTGAGCAAACTATTCTTTCAGTACCTGCTTTGAGTATTCCCTAAGACTTTCATTTCCGACCGTATTAATTCCCAACTAGTCAGGGCCTGGGAAGGGGTCGGGGGTGGTGTGAGTAGAATCAAACTTGTAACCAGACTCTCGTGAGAAAAACGACGACCTTGTTGGAGTGAAGTGACGAGTAGACGTTTTGCTACGCAACAAAATATCGATTTTCTTCGGTGATGGCGCCAATTCTTGCGTACTGGGACATTCGAGGGGTGAGTTGATTCAAGGCTTGGTTTCTCTACTTGGTTTGTCTAAAACCCCTGGATAGATTCCACGTGTCGATCGTATGTGAGCCCGGTACGAACCCTTGAAGTCTTCGCGTTTATTCAAGTGGTATGAGAGCTTTTAATTATAATTTGTTTTTGCGTTCTATTTAATAGCTTGCTGAACCGATTCGCCTTTTACTTAACTACACTGAGACAGAGTTTAAGGATGAGCGGTATGAAATTGGTGACGGTAAGGAGTGAGGTTGTTTAACACAAGCCCAGCATGCAAGATTCACTTGTCTCGCAACGATTTGACCATGTTTAATTTGCATGAAATGTCAGCGGGTGCAGTGCCAAAACTTGCGAAAAACATTGCATTCATACCGTAATGAAGTTCCTGCAATGCTGCAAGGGACAGTTTATAGGAGGAAACGTTGTCCTTGGTATAGGTATTGGGTATATATTGGGGTACTTAAGGTCATTCCACTGAAATAGAACCTGCACTGAGATTTTTGTGAAACTTTGCCTATTGATTGTTTATATTACAGGAACTTAAATTNCCATGATTGTGGTCACGATTGCTTGCTAAATTCACGTTTCCGACTATTGCTTTTTGTTCTACACTGAGAACTGGTCCATATTTATTTTACACAAAGAAATTTATTACTCAATTCAAAACAGCAGAAAAAAATGATAGGTCACCATAGTCGTTTGCGAGAAAATGACAATTTACCTCTATGGCGAGGTCCAGCTGTAAAGAAAAAGCCGCCATTTTTTAATGCACGCGCGCTAATCACGCATGAAATTATGCACAGTAGGGATGCGCAATGCAATACTGGGGAATAACCGCAACAATTATTCCACCACAGGCAGCCCAAGCTCACGAGCCGAGGAGTTATAATTTTTTTTATCTTTTTTTGTTACTTTTTTGCAAACCTTCAGCGAAATGAGACATGTATGGCCGACATATACTATTACATAATGACCGTGGTTGAATACGCAAAAATCACTCTCGTCTTGCAGCATATGGAGGTGTCATTGGTTGTTGACAAATCAATGCTAATCGATGCTGACTACCCCAGTCGGGCTAATTATAGTTATCCAATGTACTATGCGAACCGTGAACCGTGAAGCAATCTCAAAATAAATGTTTTCTTAGGAAAGGCATGGTGGACGGAATTGCATAGTGAGTGAACTGATGATCTCTTCTTTGATTTTACTGAGGAACAGAGTTGGCAGGGTTATTTTCAGTGGGTTTATTCGCTTCGAGTGGTGGGCACTCCTGAAATGAGTGTCCAGCCTTTTTTTATTTTTGCAGTGGAAACCCACACAACAATAACTCACTGAAATCATGTCAGATCTACATCTATATCCACATCTAAATTTATTTTAAAAGTTGGTAAAATGATTAAGACATTGCACCAGCTGAATTATAAAAGTTTGTCATAAAATATATAAATAAATAAATAAATAACTAAATAAATTAACTCTGATAATACATATATAAAAATGTACCAGCCTGAGGAGCTGGCAAACAACAAAGAATACAACAGAGCAACAGGGTAAGTAGATTTTGTCCACAACATATATAACAACAACAATATCAATATCTACATGTACAATATCATAGAGGTCATAGGTTTGAATATCGTTCAGGCCTGAATTTTTTTCAGACTATAATTTCACAGCTGCTTAAATCATGTATATAACTGCAATGATCGTCTAATATGTCTTCACTTTGAATGTGTGATGAACCTTGGTGAAAGGTGACTTGTTTGGGGGGGGGGGGATGAGGGGAGAGGAGTTGGGTAGGGTAGGGTTAGGGTTAACCCTTCCACTCGAGACAACTCTTCCCCACATTGACAGGTATTCAAAATCCTACACATTATAACCATAACACATTAATGAACAGAAGATAGCATTGTATTGCGCAAATGTAGGATACACTTAGTTTTTTCTAACTCTTATACTTAATTTTGTTTGGTTAAGTCTCATTCTGTTCATAACTTCTGTTTGTCAGTGCAAAGGATGATATGAAAGATATTGCATGCTTAAGTATGGGCAATAGGATATAAGGAGTGTCTTCTAATTGTACATATTGGAGTAATGATGCAACTATTATGGCTTCCTGACCATGTCACCCAGACAAAAAGTAAATTAGCATTATATGATTGTTGATTTTTTTATTGATTTTTGAGAAGTTCAACAAACATATTTGAAAAGTATTTGCTGGACAATGTTGTTCTTGAAAGGTGTGAAAATACCTTTTGATCTTGGCACTAAATTTGTGCTTACTACTTTAATTAAGGTCCTGATTATAAGGCAGAATCCTGGACTTCAGTCAAGTACACTTTGGGGCTGGATTTCCCTAACGTAAGTGGCTACTGTTATCATACCTATAGGTAGCAGTTACATGTACAAGGTACATGTAGTTGTGCAAGTTTTTACTGTCTGCTCAAGTGCTGGTAGGTACAGCATTATTTGCAACAACCATACAGCAACTTACGGTGGCTCCATAGGGTAATCATTTATGGCGTTGCGCAGACAAGTTATGTTTTGAATGCCGTTTTTGCATTCGCTTTCACACCTAGTCGTCTCTAAGTAATGATTACATGGTGTTTTGCTATCATCTCTGTTAAAATTTTGGGATTTATTCTTAAATTATAAATGCCCAAACAAAAGTGTTTTTTACTGTTTTTATGGCTTTACTTGTGATTTTCATGAATTTCCTTTGGTGAAATCTTCCAAAATTTTTACATCACATTGCTTCCAGCGGGATACGAATTTTAAATATGAAAAAAGTAGGCTTTGTAAAGGCAGTTTTTTCAGTATTTTCAAATTTATGTCTTTTACTGCTGAAAAATCTGGTCTTATAGATTTCCCTGAAAAACAAGCTCCGACTAAAGTAAAATATTTGCTACCAATCTGCTAAATTTTATGGAATTTCACCAAAGAAAACGCGAGAAAATTCACTGTCAGTTTTGCTTTTTGTGCTCATGCTGACGTAATAAAATATTGAAAAACACTGACGTTTTCCTTTGAGCGCACACAGATTACTTCCTCAGCGCTCGCGCGATCGTAAAACTATAGGGAGCCACCTTAAATCAGGGCTGTAGCTTAAGTAACAGGCAAACTGAGGTACTTGCCTCAGTCATTTTTTTGGTCTACTTGAGTCGTCATAAACAACCTTATAACCATGGAAATTGCCTCAGTCATTTTTTCATGGATGTTGCCTCAGTAATAATGTTTCTGGCGTAATTAAAGGCCTTGTAAATGGATGTTTCAGCAAGCCATCAGTTGCTTTATACAGCGTTTCCAAGTTACTATAAACAGGGGCGTAGCCAGGATTTTTCAAAGGGGGGGGTCACACTGTGTCAAAGTGAGGGTACTCACCAGATTGTTATGTCATTTTCACCACCTGTTGTGGGCTGTTTGCTTAAAAAAACGCTTACAAAAGGGGGGTCACAGGCACCCCAGGAGCCCCCTGGCTACGCCCCTGCTAAAAAGGATTACTGTTATCTAGGTATTAAATTATAAAGTACGTCCTGGTTTGATGTATTAATTGTTCAATCTTTAGATACAATCATGTTAAATAATGGAGCACTCAATAAGATTTAACCTTCTTTATTATATGGCTAGCTCCGTGAACGGGCAAGATGAATCAAATCCTGCGCTGTGATTGGCTACCCGAACAGGCAAGATGGAGCTATCTTGCCTGCTTGGGACTACCCACCGTGTCCCACAAGAAATGTCCCCGAAAGCCACATAATAAATCCTTTATTGACCAAGCTTGTTCGGTCAAGATGGCTGGATATTGGTCTGGTTCTTTTTTTGCGAGTTTATGGACCTCGACTCCATCTCAGTCCATAAACACACAAAAAAAGAACTTGGCCAATATCCAGCCATCTTGACCTCACACTTAGTCAATAACCCATACATATAACATAGTGAGCTGTACTTGAAGGAGATGATTGTCTGGATTGTTAATTTGTTTATCTTCGATATTCATTGACAGCTTCCTTATTACATTGATGGGGATGTCAAGATAACTCAAAGTAATGCAGTAAGTGATAATCTCCTGTAACATTATGTTTTGAGATAGATGAGTAATACTAAGAGAGACCTCAGATTAGTATTGATCTGATATCATTAATGCTTTTGTTTTTGAACTTTCCAGATAATGCGTCATATTGCAAGAAAACATGACTTGTGTAAGTGTCTCAATCAATGTGTTGTCTCTTGTGTAATCTGGGACCATAGTGAATGGCTTGAGTTAAGACAACTGGATAGAGCTGCTGCATCTGTATGTCAACATTTTCCTCTAGGATAGTAGAGTCTGTAGACCCTTTTCATAAATGGCTGCCAATTATAAATTCTTTTGTAACTATTAAAATAAGCCTTACTAACCTTGTTTTTAGGTTGATAGATATTCAAAAGAATTTTTTCTCTCAAACGAGGGTAGAGAGGCTAACTTAAATGCGTATAAAAGTTTTTTTAATTCGCAGCTATTTATGAAAAGGGTCTATTAGACATGTCTTTTTGTTCACCCAATGGAGGTTTCTCAAGAAATGGGGGGTATGTACTAACAATTCATAATAATTACTTTTACTGAGGGGGTATCTTGAAGTGAAAAAAGAATAAAAAGTAGGTGTTTATAATTTCTTTTTTAAATTTTACATTGCAGTGTAATCCTCAATATCCACAATTATTTTAAAAGCGTGTTTGTTGAAGGTTTGACTTGAAAACATTTATTGCAAAAATATGAATTGCCATAGTATTACTAATGATTGTTTATGTCTAACTAGTTGGCTCAACTGAGGAACAGAATATAAGAATGGATGTTGCCGAAAATCAGGTGACAATTCTAATGTTTTTAGCCACCCAATCAAAAAACCATTGAGAGCGCTGCTGGTTGAACTGGTTGAAATACATCTTTTTCTTAACCATTCAGTCGCAAACTCTCTTCACTGAATGTGAAGTTATATACATCAGAAAAAAATGTGCAATTGTATTTGTGTTTGTGGAAAAGGGATGGCACCATGGTGAAAGCACTTGCCTCCCATTGGTCGATGTGGCCCAGGTCCTCGGCCCAGGTTTGATTCTGGCCTGGTGCCATATGTGGGTTGCATATGTTGTTGATTCTCGCCTTGTTCCAAGGGTTTTTTCTCTGGGTTCTCCAGTTTTCCTTCCTCCACAAAAACCAACATCTCTAAATCCCTAGACCAGGATGGAAGACCTGCATGAAAACCAGCTAAGGTTGATGTGGCTTCCTCTCCAAATATTGTACAACTCTATCCTGCGTGGAACATTTAATCCAATTAGAGTCTAAGTATGACCTCTGTCATCAACATCGTGTTAGCATACAACGTTTTGAAACTTATTATATGAAAAACACTGTATCATACAGAGGATCCATTGTTTGGAATCTTTTAGAACCATCCACTGTCAGCACTAGAGGTGATGCTAAACTAAAAAGGGCAAAAAAGTCTCCCGCCCTCAGAAACTTGAACTTAAGTGAAGAGTCACCGCAAATGGGTCCCCAAATTGACAGCGATTTCATCTTTTATTGATTTTATTCATATCTTTTTTGCATTTTTTAATTTTTTATTGTCCTTTTAACATTTTTTACACAGTGCCATAAGCTATATTAGCTTTAAAACCCACCATGTTTGAATAAAAGATGTTGTTGTTATTTTATTATTATCATTATCATTATTATTAGTATTATTATTATTATTACTATTAAATAAATAAATATTGTTTTACGTGTTGTTTTTTTTTCAACTACTTAGTTTGTATTTCCGTAATCAGTGAACTTGCTGGTGCATCTTGACAAATTTTATATGTTGTACATTGTTGTTACTGCTGGTGATCCTTTGTGAGAATTTTGAAATTCTTAAGAAATATGTGGACGCAAGCTTAAGAGTGTACATTTTGGAAAGCTCATGATTTGAATTAGAAAAAAACGATATTTAACACTCAAACAGACGCTATTCGTGCAAAACATTTTATTATACATTTCCATGATTGATTTACATTGAATATGTATTTATTCACACTTTCATTTCTGTGTATATATTATATGTAACTTAGGTTAATAATATTATTGTTTTATATTCAACAATAATGTTGGCATGAGGTCATTGAAATGTCATGTACCATTTTTATCATTAATTTTTCTTTTAAAATGTTTATAAAAGTCGATCCTTATAAGAACTTGTTTTTGATTTGTTTTGCTTGATGTGTGTCAAAAAATAACCAGCTGTCTGCTTGAAAATTATGTGAACAGTGATACAATTTCCAATTATATTAATAAATGAATATTCTCTGTATTCATAGCTTATGGATGTTCGTAACAAGTTTGTTGGACTTTGCTATAATCCAGACTTCGTAAGTGTGTCATGCTCTTGAGTATGCAGTCATTGTGACCATATTTCTTCCTTTAGATCAAAGGCCAGTGTTACACTATTTTAGGAAAGGGTGTTTAGAACACAAAGCAGTATATTGAGCTCTTTCCTGCACAGATCTCACTTGAAATAAGCTTGATTTGTGAACTTATGTCCTTCTTTAACTTGAAATGTGCATATAATGGCCACTGTTTGACTCAGATTATTGTCCAGTTCCTAACTCTAGCACTTTGGTCACTTTTGTTGCTCAAAAAGGGAAATCACTAAATCTTCAGAATGTATTTTGTTAGTCTCTCAATTAATAAATTATCTTATTTTGATCTGGACATAAACTGTTGCCTTATGTACCACCAGGTTTAAATGGTTGAGTTATTTTTGATACCCAGAAGCATTAAGCTATGTTTGTAATCGTTATAATAATGATTATAGCTATTATTAATAATGTTGTTGGAGCTGTCCTTAATTTTGCCACTCTTGTAAACAACTAGTTCCCCAGTACGACTGTCCTCTACCCTGCAAGCAGTTGGTTTCCCCTACTAAATGAGAGAGAAACCACTGCGAACAACTGTCTGCTTTTCTACCGAGCATGCACAAGTTTGTTGTTAGCCCCATGTGATGTATTTGACATCAGTTCCATTTGTTCGCTAACAGTGTTTGTACAACATTGGTCAAAAAAAAGCAAAAGAGCACTCCAGACCTTCGTCACAGTATTATCAAGTTTGTAGTCTAAATCTAAAACCTAAATTTAAGGCTTTCTTTCGTTCTCCCCGCGTGCAGGATGGCTGAGTTCGTTGAACACAATACTCCAAACAACAATACGATTTTAAGTGGGATAATGCGATCGAAGGCGAATTTGTTAAAGCTGTTTCAAGCGACTGGACGTCATCCTAGAGGAAGAACTTCTAGCGACGTACAGCAGTCTTGAAGAATTATGAAACGTCTTTGAACATCATAACCCAAATCATAGCCGCTTGCAGTGAAGTTAGACTTTGATCGCTACACAGTGGGCTAACTTAAACGCGGCAGTTCCGTTGGTGAACGCACGTGGCCGAGCCTAAACCAGCTTTTAAACTAGTTTTACCGGTTCAAAGTTAATTTATTCGTCCATGCATAGCGCTGGACAGCAGTTAACTCAAAGCAACATACAGTCGCTCACAGTTGTTTCTCCCTCGTTCGGCATATGAGAAACCAACTGCTTGCAGGGTAACTGTCCTCCTGAAACGCTGTTCAAATTCCCTGCAGAAGTCTTAAAATAATTGAAAGCACCTGTGTGTGACTTTGTTCATTTTTGGGATTACAAATTGGGTATTTCCATACTTTTCAGCTCTAGTATTAGTGATTACCTACCAACATATGATTGTGTATCAGAACTCTATGAACTTTTGCAATAGCATTTTTAAAGATATTTCATTAATAACTACTTATTAACCAAGATTGAGGTCTTTATGGGAAATCTCAAACTGAGACCTTCCCATATTGACCGAGCAATAACGAAGTCACTGCGGCAAGGCCAAGGTTTGAGATTTTCCCGTAAAGACCAAAAATTTGAGGTTAATAAGTTGTTTTTATTATATGGCTTTTTGTTTTGTTTTTGCAGGCCTGTAATAATCAGTTTGTGGGTATTACTGGAGAATAATGCCCTAGAACTAGCCAATCAAAGTGCTTGTTATATTGGCTGCAAACACAAGCCATATAATAAAATAATACAAAATAAAATTGTTGAGTTTATCCTTTTGGTATGTAGAGACCTTGTCTAGGAATCCATTATGTTATGATTGTGAGTGATTGTTTACTCCCGGTAATAAGAAAAACAGTTCCAGATGAATTTGATGTAATCACCTTTTTTTCAAAATAATCCCAAAGATCAGGTGACTTGCATGCATGTACCTGAGAGCTTTATAGTTTGATTAATTATCTAATATTCATTGTTATTACCTTTTTTAAAATGATTTTAATTATTGTTTTTTTCCCTGGCAGGAGAATCTAAAAGCTGGCTATATCAAGAGTGTCAAGTCCTCCATTCAACAACTCTCAGACTTTTTGGGAGAAAGGGAGTTTTTGGCTGGAGAAAAG